ACTTGACACCGGCCGCGTGCATTGGCATTCACTTTTTTAAGCCAGTTTTACATTTTAAGCTGATGTATATAAATATATAGACTAGCCTGCACATGTGGCTCGTATTTTTAAAAATTAATAGATTGGTTTAATAATTTAATTCTATTTATTTTTTAGAGGCAGCTGCAGCGAAGAGTCGCTCGGCAATTAAAGCTTCCGTAAATGGGAGCTGGCATTTGAATGGTTTAGACAGACTTATTAACAACAATGCGATGAGGGCTGTTTTTTCTATATAGCTACATACATATGTATATCAAGAACCTTCCGCATCGCTAATCAACAGACTTTGCTATCAATTCTAGGTTGGCTTTCCACTCAAGCCTCGCTAAAACTCTTTGAGAATTATAAGCGTTAAGCTACGAAAAACAGCGCAGAGAACAGAGAACAGAAACAAAGTCAAATATCTGTTTCTGTATTTATCAGCTGCTGTTTTCTTGTTAATATAACATTTTTTATTATTCATTTTTGTATTTTCATTATAAACAAAAAAATATTAATAAGCATTGACCGCGAGCTAGCCAAGCTCTTAATATTAGTTTAGATTGGAGCACTTGATAATCTTAACAGTTTCTAAGTATTCTATTTTTTATAGTACTTTGTTCCTGGAAAAAGCCGCACACTGACCAAAAATAAGAGTTTCAGCTTGCAAGCTCTAAAGCAAGACTTAAATAGAGAATAAAATAAATACGGATTTTCAAGAAAATTATAAATCGAAAATCGGCAAACACAGAGAATCTGTTGCTGCTGCAGCTGCTGCACGACAGTGGAAACGTGCTATTTTTGTCAGTCGTGTCTGTCGTGGCTGTCGCTGTCGCTGTTGCTTCAGTGGCAAAGGTTTGATTAGCCATAAAAACGCGCATTTGGTGTCGACGTAGTAAGTACTTGTTTCTATGATTGTTTGCTGGCTGGCATTTTATGTCAATGCCGCAACTGCCTCGTACTTGTCCCGTGCTGCTGCTGCTGCTGCTGCTGCTGCTGCCGCTGCCGCTCACAACATTTTGTGGCACATTTTTTACGAGCTTTCGTATTTGAAAGTCATAAAATGCATTTTAACAGCTCGCAACGCGAAGCCAGCTGCATGTTGTTGATAATACGTGAAGAGGAGAGGGTGTTGTTGTTTTTGTTGTGCTTGGATTGTTATTGTTAGTGTTATTGTTTTGTTTTTGGGCGTATCAAGTTATTATTATTATTATGATTTGGCTGAACTTTAACCCTTAGCCGTGCACCCGCTCCCGCTGCTGGCCAGAGAGACCAGCACGCTTTATCCAGCCAAAAAGGCTGCAGCCCAATAAAATGTAATTAATTTGGCAAAAACTTTTTACCAGCCAATAAAGCAAGCAGCGTGAACAGCAGCAGCAGCAGCAGCAGCTTCGGCAGCAGCAGCAGCTTCGGCAGCAGCTGGAAAAGCAGAAGCTGAAGCATTTGCATGCCAAGGATGAGCCAAAAGCCACCAAAAATGCCACAGAAACTACTGCACAAGCCAAAACAAGAGGCGGGCGGTGCGGTGTGCTGAGTGGGGCCACCAAGGGGCAGGGGACGGGCGGGCGCGCGGGGTAAGAGTTACGCCAGCGGGAGCAACAGGAACCGGAGCTGAACCACCAGCAGCTGCTAGACATGAACTTATAAAAGCTGGCAAAACTCTTGAACCGAACTCGACAGAGACGGATGCAGCAGAAGGATGGTGGCAGCTAAGAGGGGGAGAGGGGGGGGGGGGGGTGGGTATTGGCTATGACTTCTCTGGCAACGCTGCATTAAAAAGTTAATAAAAGTGGAGCATGCCACAAGTCGTGCCGCAATTTGCGGCAGCTGCAGCTGCAGCACAAGGATATGGATATGGTTATGAATATAAGTACATAATCTATGTATACATGTGGCATGCGTATGCGTGTGCGAGTGCGTGTGTGTGTGGCAACTTAAAGCTTACAAGAAAAATAAAAGAGACCATTTTGCTGCAAGGTGCCATAAGCTGTGACTTTGACTTGCCACAACCCGAATCGCTCGGCCCCCCACACAAATGGCAAACAATTAAAACGCTCAACATGGAGCGAAGCTGCGGATTTATCGACACACACACACACACACACACACACACGCACGCGCGCACACACACACACACACACAAACACGTGAAGTTGAAGTAACTAATTGCAACAGCAACTGCTGCCAAGTGGCGCCACACTTGTGGTTAAGGGTCCCTTATCCGCCAGTCAGCTGCATCTCAAGTAATGCGGCCAGTTGTAAATATCGAATGTGCCCCACAAGAGCTGCACACACACACATACACACATACACACGCACACACACACACTCGCACACGCACACAATCAGTTGCAAGGAGGCCAATTAAGAACACATTAAAAACGATTTGCAGTTTGGGACAGAAAGTGCCAGCAATTTGTTGAGTCGCGCTTCAGGTTGCATTGAGTACTCAAGTATCGATGCTCGAAGCCGGCAACTGTTATTCAACAGCACACAAAGAGTGCTGCAGCTCTCGAAGCTTCACTGTAGCTTACACAATACTTAATTATCACAAATGAAAATTAACGCACTTTGCGCGCTTACGAGTTGTTGGTGTTACGCATGCAGCGTCAAAGGGGGAAGAGCACACCGAATATTTAATACCCTACAAAGTGACTTAATACTAAGGGGTTTCTCATATGGGAAACAAGCTTATCTTGAGTTTGTAGCTCGAAATTGCTGTGTTTGGTCAAAATATCTTACAGAAAAACAAGGCTAAATATCAACTCGACTGTTGCTACGGATCAAGAATATATATTTTCTATCAGAGCGCAGATGCTACCAGCGGTAACGTTATATATTCTTTATAAATAAACGTAAATCATATGAAAATCTGCAAATTTCAGTAGATCTTCCGGTTGATCGTGCAGGGTTTTCCAGTGCTGGCAAACAGTTTTTCTTGTTTCTTTTCTTTTCCCGCTGCGTGTCATTTCCGTCTCTGTGCAACGCGCGTGCTTTGAAATTTAAAAATATTGCGTATACACACACAATATATATGTATGTACATATGTATGTATGTATGTATGTATGTATGTACATATGCATGGACAAATATACAAAAAATATCTATAAAAACGACAAACGTGCCGCGTCCAAGCGTCGCAGTTGTCGTGCGGATGCCACGCCCAATCGTTGTTGCAACACCTTCAACTTTAACTACATTTCGTTTTTAATATGCCGCAGACGTTGATGGCAAAGTTTTTTTTTGTTTTTTTTTGTTTTTTTTTGCACCCGCGCACCTTTTGTCACCCATCAGCACGTTGTGCCCCCCTCTGACCTCAGCGCCCCCTCCTTCCTAACCCTGAAATATTCACTCTAATTCAATTTGAAGTGCAAGCATTTTGCGTACTCTGCCCGAAAGCCAAGTGAAAACTTTTTCCTTTAAATCGGTGTGTGGGGGGCAGTGGGGTACAGGCGGCGGTTGACCGCTGTCCACTGAACATTGCAGGAATTGGTGGGAAAAGGGGGAAAGGTGGGAAAGGGGGGAAAGGGGGTTGGGGCTGCGTTACGTGGCCTTGTCGAGTCTTCATCTGTAATAAGTTGCGAGGCATTTGCTCGCATTGCATTTCATGTCTGGGGTTGACCGAAAATAGAAAAGAATGAAACCTCGTAACGATGGGCCACGCCCCCAACACACACATACACACACACACACACACACGCACACTCGCATGTGTCCCACCTGCGTCCCGCTGTCTGGCGTACGTGACATTTGGCGGCGCCACAAAAGCACGTAAAAGAAAATACTCTGTAAATCTGTACGTCATTTCTTTTTCCGTAGTTTTTCTTCTGGCTGCGCGCTTTTTGCTGCTTGGCGTCTTTGGTCCTTTGGTCTAACGGCTTGTTGTCTGCTGCTCCTTTTTTTTTTGCTTGCAGCCTTGTTTACAACTGCGTCGCCGACGGAGCGCAAAAGTGTTTGTTGCCGCAGGACGATCGAAGACGAAGGCATTGAACGGCAACTGGAACGGGCTCTGAGACGGGCATAGACCCTGGACACTAGAGACTGGGGCAGCGTCTACAAGCAGTTGCCGGCATTGCGCTGGCATGGGCTGCTGGAACTGCCATAAATTTTGCTTATCTAAACGGAAAAATACAATTTGTAATTGAAAATATTTGTGCGCATTTTCACACACACATACACATACAGGCACACACAACTGGCTGCTAAGTTTTTCCTTGTCTTGTTTTTTTTCTTCCTTTTTTTGGTACTCTTGCCTAGTTTTTGGGCTAAGAGCCGCCGCAGGCTGTGTGCCAGCCATTGGCCAAATGGCCGCTCAATTTTTAATGGGTTTCCGTCGCTTTGTTTAATTGCCATTGCGCCTCTGTATGTGCTTCTCACAAATAAGCCACTCGATTGACAGACAGCAGCTACAGGACTGCGAGGCAGTTGGAGGCTTGCAGTGAAAGCAATTGGTTTTAATTATGAAACATATAAATTCCAATTTAATGCATAAGATAGCACTATATTGTATTAAGTATATATACATCTCCATCTTCACGTGATTATCATTTGTAATGTGTGCTCTGTTTTTCCTAAACTTTGCCTACAACATCATTAAGTATTTGCTAATAAGGGCCTTGTGAGCCTCTCTAAGTGCTTCTCAAACATGCTAAATAACCATTTTTGCAGTCACTTACTCCTCTCTATGCGCTTCTCATGCCATAAACTAAGCAATTTGAGCCTTGGAAGGCTCTTCTATGCGCTTCTAATTTATTAGTCTTTATATTTGCAGTAACTCCCATGGTAATATGACGTTGCCAAAGGTTTGTGTACATGATACATTTCATGGGACGGTTGCAGATGAATGAAGAATTTCCTAGATTCGGAATTTTTTTTTTTATTATTATTTATTATTATTATTATTTATCGGGAACAAACTATTTTTTTTTTTTTTATTATTGTAGCCAAGTGAGAGTTTTTGGCTGTCTATTCAACGACTACATTGATTGTGGATATTTATATTTATGTGAATTTTGTAGCATGACAAAGATAATTTAGCGAACAATGTGTGAGGGTGGCCATAGTTTATGTAGGACAGATGTTGCAGATTTAGAGTGGATGTCGAATTGTTTTGGGTACACAAAGATATTTGCATGGCTTCGGTCTTAACGCTTGGACACACCAACCAGGGCGGGGCGTATGCATCGCTTGTGCAGTTTATAGCCCAATTTGGTGACCTGCACCACAGTGTTGGCCTCAACCGTATTGTCCAACGTCTGAAAGAGGGCCTCATGTAGATTGGGATCGAATTTCTGATTGATCGGATCCAGGGCCTCCAGGCCATGACGCTTGAATACCTGCAGCAGTGAGGCGCGCGTCAGATTGAGACCCTCATACAGATTCTTGAGATCGGCATTCGCATTGAGCTTATCCTTGGGCACAGCCTGTGTGGCATGGCCCAGCACATCGGCCACCTCGATCAGATCCTTGCAGAAGCCCTGTATGCCAAAGATTTTGGCATCGTCGATCTGTTTATTGAGTCGCTTGCGCATATTCTCGCCATCGGCCAGGGCACGCTTGTATTTGTCAAGCAGCTCATTGTGCTCCACCTTGGCTGCGGCCAGCTCCTGCGACAGCCACTCGACTTCCCCCTTCTGCTCCTCGTCGGCCAAGCCCTGCTCCTGTAGGTGAGGCTGTTGCGGCTGTTGTGGCTGTTGTGGCTGTTGTGGCTGCTGCTGCTGCTGTTGTTGCTGCTGCTGCTGCTGCTGTTGTTGCTTCTTTGTGCTGTAGACACGGCCCAGTTGCTGCGTTCCTGTGACTCGCGGCCAGCACACATTGTGTGTTATTGCCACGGCTTTGAGGTGGCCCAAACGTTTGGTAAACATTTTCAACGTGAGTTTAGAGAAGACTTAGTGCAATTGAAATTATCGGTTCTTGAAAACTTATGAGACTTTTCACTAAGTAATACAAAAGTAAATTTTGATGCAGCGCCTGCTGTCAAATAGTTGCTTTTTAACTCGATGGCAGCATCGCCGTTAACACATTGTTATCGATAAATTCCATGACGTTAAAATGTCCCATCTCGATAAATGAAGTGTTGCACAATACATGTGCAAGTAATTATATTTTATCGATGGTATTCAGTTTCACTTTTTAAGAGTTTTTTAAAGGATTTTCTATATGCAAAAAATAGGTTCTATAAGCTAAGAATTTATTGTAAGAAGACACAAACTTATGCAAATCAAGCAGCGAATCACTATTTTCAAGCTGGTGTTTGGTTTTGTGTACCCTTCCGTGGTCTTAAATCCGACAACTGTTAATATTAGTATTATTCGGAAAACTGAATTGATATCTAGGTCTTTGGCAGACCAGCTAATTCATTTTCCAATCAGAAACCCCTAAGGAATTCGTCTGCTTTTGCTACCGATAACAATCAAAAGGGCATTTAGAGAGTTTTGCAGCACTGCAGCACCAAGCAATCCAATTCAATTCCGTTTTCCAATCAGAAACCCCAATCGGGAATTCGTCTGCTGTTTGCTATCGATAACAATCGAATTCTGGCATTTAGAGCGTTTTGCAACACTAATCCACAACAGATGCCCACAAAGCAGCTCCAAGCAATGCAGTCCAAATCAAAACAATGCTTGTAAAAAGGCTTTGCTAATGGCCGCCGATCAAGGAGCTGCCATTACACGGCTCGCGTGTCTCTGCCCCTCCTTCAAGCTCCACCAAATTGCCAGCACAAATGGAATTGACACGCTCCACAGTCGGAGTTGTGCGCAGCGCCCACGTCAGTCGCTAACAACGCAACAAACACAAGGTAGATCTGGGCACAATCCCCCTCTACGTACGTGTATATAACAGGTCGGGTCGGACCGGGCCTCAACGTCGTCTTATCATAATGATGACGTTTACATTTCAATTAACGACGAACAGCATAATTGCAGCAGTCAAATTATATAATTATACACAAACAACACACATATGTTTAAAAATATACATATGTAGAGAATGAGAATGTGGGAGAGGTAGGGCGAGGGGTGGTGGAAGAGGACGGGGCATGGACTGGAGCCGCCTCATCGACATCGACAGCTACACGAGCTCCTCTGGCATTTGATGCATATTGAAGGCGGCTGGCTCTTTGGCATTGGGATCTGTGGCAGCTGCAACATTGCCGCCGCCGTCAAATGCTATGCAGGTGTTGCCCCATGTGTCAAAAAATAATCATTTTGAAATCACTTCACAGCGCGGAAGACAGAGAGAGAGAGAGAGAGAGAGAGAGAGAGGGAGAGGGAGAAAGATGAAAAATGCGTTCGTTAAATGCACCCGGAACGGGCCAATGTGCCACGCCACTTGGGGCAACTTGACTGCTGCAGCGGGAGGGGAGGATGTGGCAACGATAATGCAGCCCAGGCCAGCGCCTGTCAAGTGCTCGAGCAGGCAGCGTGCGAAGCAAAGCCGAGACCCAGGCCATAATTTGTATAAAGCGTTCGTTGTCTGTCTTATAATTCCATTTCAACATTCAATTCAATGAAAGACTTGAAGCGGTTCTCCTCCTCCTCCTCCTCCTACAGACACTCGGTCCAATGGGTCGCAGCTGCGTAAAGCTGCACTGAGCGAAATAATCGATAGTTAATATCGATGAATCATTTGATTCATTCAAAGAGTTAAAAGGATTCGAAAGGGAATCAATGAATCATCATGGTCTATTAACACAGTCAATATGCTTAATTGTGATAAACGAATATTTTAACCATTGTTATTGGTGGCGTAGCAAAAAATTCTACAGAAGAATATACATACATATATAAAAATAAAATAATTAGTTAAATTTCTAATGAATTTCTCACATATAAGGCATATTTTTTTAATATGTATATCCTGCTTCGATCTAGTATATTTCGGATTTATGCGTCATTTCAAGCCCGCTGCCGATGGAGGCTTTAAGCTTTGCACGTCAGAGTTTTCATTGAATCTCATAATCTCACTCGGGCAACACAGCTGCAGACTATTTTTTTTTTAAATTCCACTTAGTTACATTTTATTTTTGTTTTATTTTTTTTACACAGTAACACGTAGCATTTTATAGACGTATTGTATTCTAAATTCTCGATGTATCTCCAAAACATCTGCTCACGTTTGAAAACAATAACACACAAAATGACATCAAATCTAACTGGCACTACTCGTAAACCTAGCGAAGCGGAGCTGAAGCAGTGTCCACATTGCAATCGAACATTCAATGCGAAAGTGCTGGCCAAGCACGTGACCATCTGCAGGAGTGTGCTGAAGAACCGCCAAGTGTTCGATTCCTCTCTTCAACGTCGTGAGGGCGTTGAGTACTTCAGCTTTGGGACGTACAACAGCGAGCTGCCGCCAAATGCTGCACGTGGACCAACAACGCCGCAGTCGAAGACAAGGGTGAGCACAATATATCCCAATGTTTCTTGAAGCTAACGCGAACTACTCTCGGACAGACCTTGGTCGCACCTACTCCTAAAGCCGAAGACGTTGCATCCCTGCGTAAGCCGGAATCGCCGGTACCAGCCAAGCGCAAGGCAACGGCAACGGCAACAGCAACAGCAAGAGCAACGGGCACGGGAACATCAGCCAATGTTCCCGGAACCAGTTCTTCCATGAACCGGGATTGCACACTGACCAAGCGTTGCGCGAACGTTGCCTTAGAACGTTGCCCGCACTGCGAGCGCAGCTTCAACCTCAAGGCCTACGATAGCCATGTGGCATGGTGCAAGGAGAAGGCGGTCATAGCCGCCTTCAACGTCGGCTGCAGCGACGAGGACACCATGAAGGCCAAGCGGCGCATGGATGCACGCCTCAAATACAAGCCTCCGGCTCTGAAGTGAGTAACTGTTAAGTTTCAACTCCCCGTTAAGCCCAATATAGCACCTAGTTAGTCGAGGGCCGCACAGAACCAACTATTTTAAATTGAGCTTAAAAGCTTATACAATTTCTATCATATTATTGATAAGCGGCTTATTAATGAACACCAATCGGGTTCGAATTACAGGCTGTGCTGTGTCTGTTGCAGTGCCTCTTGCCAAAGGTCAAAGTAACGTCTATTAACAGGTTGATTTTGTATGATACTGTTAGCAGATATTCTGTATTGCAACAACCATTAAAATTATAACAATATCAATTAAATAATTTATATTTTAAATTTATAATAAATTAAACAATATATTTTTACACTCTAGGACCAAGCGCTTAAGCAATCCACAAGCAAACAATTAAGCGGATGTTAACGTTTTTCTCGATATTCCAAAATTTCGTCAAATTCTAAATTCCAAAGATTGACCATGAATAAAAACTAGCTGAAACTAGGCACTGCACAAATTGTGAAACAATGCACAGGCACAACGAATCACAATGTAAAGACTCCCCTAAAGTGAGTACGATAAAAGTGTGATAAATACTCGAATGACCCATTAGAAAGAGTTGTATCAGAAGGGGAATCAACTAAGGATTCAACCGAGATGCTGCAAATAAAATCTTTTATGCACATCATGCATGCATAAGCTGAATATGTAAGCTATATGATGATAATGTGAGCATTTGGTATTAAAGATGTAAATTTCAATTGTTAAATTCTAGCATTTTCTTGCAGTGTATGAACTGTATGAACACTTTAAAGCCCGAAACCCAAAACTGACAACTTGGCGTCCGAGTCGAGAGTGAGATTTTTTAATTATTGTTTCCATGTTGCGCTCTCTTTTGTTTTGTGTCGCATGTCACGTGTCACATTCAAAGTGGATGTTTTTGGTGTTCGAGTTTGCAGTTCAAAAACCAAAATAAACCAAAAGCGGCCCAAACCATAAGTTATGAGCCACGAACCCCAAGGAACCAAGGAACTGTAACTCGAGAAACGAGAATCGAGAATCCCATTGCTGCTGTCGTCCAATTGAAATGATTTTCTATCATGACACATGAGAGCGCTTCATAAGGTGCTCAATAAACCTGCCTGTGTATAATTTTTCACGACACAGACCCACAGAATAATAATCTGGCGTGTAATTTATTAACATTTTCTTTCGCATACACACACGCACACGCACACACTGAAGCCATTTGGTGGTTTCGCTTTCAGCATTTTATTTACCCCGATTGAAAGCAAATTGAATGCCGGCACCTGCACGGGAATAGCCCTATAGCGCGCTTAAATAGGGTATGTGAATGGGGGCTGGTTATGGGGGCGGCAGGTGAGGCCAGGTGCGGGTGTCGTTTCCTCACATATGGCAAACTATGGCACGATGGGGCGGCTCAACCAGGTAAATGGCCACCGCTGCTTGTTTGATGAAGCGCATTAAACAAATAACGCCCTGGCAATTTTTCATTAAAAACTCGCAGACAGTCATTTGGTAGGAAATACGATGTGGATGGGCGGGGGGCAGGAGCTAGCCATATAATATTGCGTAGCAGACCAGATTTGTAGCTGTTGCTGTTGTTGCCGTGTTGCTGTCGTGTTGCTAATGCAGCTTTGGCGTGTGTGTTGCGGTCGGTGCCATTTGATGCACTCCACTCCATTACCCATTACACATTGGCATTGTGCGCAGATAGCAGAAAACGAGCTGCCTCGAGAGTTGCCTCTCCAGTTGGCGGCAGGAGGCAGCTAATGAGCACCAGGAACGAGCTCCGCCGTGCCACGTTGTTGAAATTTAAGCGTAATGTGAGAATCATGTTGTATATAGGGGGCAAAAAACATAAGTGGACAGATTAGATCTTGCACATATCAGTTTACAAAACCGCCAGCTATTAAGCTGGCTTTGCGCTAAAATCTGTTGAGAATTATAGCGCAGCTTTGCTTGCTTCTATTGCGTATGGGTTGAGAAGCAATTATTCGGAACTAAGCCTTTAACTGCATAATAAGGGTATTATACTTATTATTAAGACAGAGACAGCTGCGAGCCCCCAAAGTATATATATTCTTGATCAGCATAGAGAGGCGACTCGATGTAGCTAGCCTCTCAGTCTTAGAGCTAAAGGAATGACTTTTTGTTGCAGTCGCGAATTGGCCTGATCGGCCCACTATATCGTATAGCTGCTATAGGCAGAATCGGCTGAAAATTAAATTCTAGCATGAAAACCTTATTTTCTTTTACGAAATATCTTAAACCGTCTTGGGATATACATATATGATAAATATTCATCACAATTTCAGCATAGCCCCCAAGCATGATCAAAATTGGAACAATCGATCGAAAATAGAGATCCTATGATATCAACTTTTATATCTTTCCAAACTTGTGAATCATAAGATGCACCTCGCTACTTATACAATATATGAGCAAAAGCATATCAACATCGAGCTACTATATCACATAGATATAGAATAAAGAATCGGTTGAATATGAAGTGTTTACATAGAAAAGCTGCCCAAACTCTGCAGCAACCAGCTAGCCAGTGTATTCTATCATAATTATATTTACTAGACAACATTTGTTGTTTGTTGTTGTGCAGCAAAATAAAATGTGTACAGGCAAAACGACTTTGACAGCACGTGAAGGTGCATGTCAACGTTGACAGGCGCATGAGAATAATGTGTCTAAATCAGGGAAAATACTTTATAATAGAAAATTTGGATAAATAATTGTACAGACAAAAGTCAAACATATTTTTATAGATGTATATTTAAATTCAATTTTGGCGTTTATTTTCGTTTGTTTTTAGCTGAATGCATGAATAAAGCAAACAATAATTGAAAAATGTCAACATTTTAGCTGTGTTGCTTGTTGGCTTTTGGCTGTTGTTATTGTTGTCATTATGTTATATTGTTTCAATTTAGCTGGAAAATTTGAGCTTTGAGCTAATAAAAAGTTTAACATACATATGTTTTAATTTGTTGTTGCCGTTGTGCATTTTGCAGCGAGTTAGCGGCAAATTGAATTTGGCTAATTGGTGTGTGCATTTTTAATGATAATTATCTGCCTACCAACATGCTTATTATACACACACACACACACTCGCCTCTATATGTGTGTGCGTGTGTGTATACTCGCCTCTATATGTGTGTGCGTGTGTGTGTATATATACGGGCGTTCTTTCCCGGTTTCAGCGTAAAATTATTAATTAATAAAATAAATGTTTATTACATTTATTTAATTGTGTGCTTGAGAATGTGTGTGTGTGTGTGTGTGTGTGCCTATTACTAAATACACATGCGTGTGTAAACGTTAACTGTTATTAAGGCAAACACTCCCCCCCCCCCCCCCCTACACACGCACACACACACCCATGGCGACTCGCTTGTGCTGTGCGACTGACGGATCGACACGTAAATGAAAATGCCTCAGCATTTCAATAAAAAGTTTTATGTTATAATTATGGGGCAAACGAGGCAAAGACAAGAAGAACGCCAGACGCGGGTCGAGGCATGCGTATAAAAATTAAGGCCTAACCCCCGCCCCACCTTTCGCCACACACACACACACACACGAACACACAAACTACAGAACGTCGCGGCCTGCCTTGGCCCATAATTTTTCTATTAGACAAACACGAAAGGCAGACGGGGGGCATGGGCACGGGTTGTGGGGGTGCGAGGTATATGTTTGTCATGTGAGAGTGTAATAAATTTTATTAAAAAAAACAACAGCAACAACAACAAACACTGCAACGCGCTGGACGAACTGAAGGAGGTGCCGCCGCACATTTGGGTCATCATACGTGACCAGCACTGGAATGTGCCGCCCCCCGTCCCTCACCACTTCCACCTTCCCCGAACTAGGCAGGGCGAATGTCCAGCTGAGCCAACACATAAAAAGTAAATAAACAAAAGGCCAAAAACGAATCGGCGATTCGAGAAAAATGCAACAAGCGCAGCTGTCTGAACTGAAGGAATTGTGCGATTGTGTGTGTGGAAGGGGTTGGGGTTGCCTGTGTGGGCTTAGGTGGAGTGGGGGGAGGGGGGTGCCTTGGATGTGAAGTGCGGCCGAGCTAATGGACGTCCAATGAAGTTGACCGGCTGTCAGAAGGCGCCATAATTACTTTTCACACCAGGCGGTAAGCGACACATTTGCCAAAACAACAAAAAACAACGAAAAAGAAGCCAACGATGCCGAAGATTAAATACCCTGATATTTGATATTGTGTTCCCAGCAGCAAGTCAATTTAACATCGATTGCTCTTACATAAGCTCTAAGCCGAATGGCAGGGTTCGAATCCCTGGAACAGCGATTCTAGAGTCTAGCATTTCAATGTTGTTCAATTAAATAAAGTGCTTATTTCATGATTATCTTGAGAATCAAAACTGAACTACATTTTCGACTATAGACTAAAAATTCAAGCCGATTTCGAGGACAAGCAGCAACAAGTTGAATCTAAGCCAAAGTTCAAGAAGCTGACTTGAAAACCGTTTTGCCTAGAATACGTATATTTGATTGGATCGGAAATGCCTGCCCCACTGTTTCACATAGCTCGTGACAAAATTGAGATACGTTATGCATTAAAAAACATGATTGAGAGACCCTTAAAAAGCAAGCCGCATGCCCAGCCCATATTGACACACAATGTGCCGCAGGGTGGCCCGAGGCGGACGCCACGTTTAGGGTGCCGCAAATAGGGCTTGCTCTCTAATAGGTTTATGATACATATATTTATTTATATATATATATATATATATATATATGTATGTACATATGTATGCATACATATAGCAAATAAGTGGCCATAAATTCATTTGCAATGCAATTCAAAGAGACCGTCTGTTCAAGGGGGGGCCGCTGGTGTCTGTATGATGCCACATACAGCGGCGGCGGCGGCTTTGGCGTATTGTACATTTATTTGTTTTCGCAAAAATGACAATAAAAATTTAATAACTTTGACACAATTTAATTAATTTCGATTTTAAATGACAATACGCACAAAACATGCATTTCAAAAGCCAACCGAACTGAAATTTCTTTTAACAAGCACCACAAAAAAGTCAATAACAACAAAAAATAGTGCAAAAATGCGAGGAGAGAGAAATTGAATAATAAACAAAATAAACGCAATGAAAAAAAAAAAAAAAGATATTGATGACACACAGCCAGCATTCCGATATTTTTTTTTCATTAGGCATTTAAACATATGCAAAAAAAATTAATAAATAAATATATGTTTTTCGCACGAGGTACGTTTGTAAAGAATCTTGCAAAATTCGAAGAGGTAATGTCTATAAAGCTTCCTAAGTTTTCTATAGTTTTATTTAAGAGCTAAAACAATTTTATAGAATTTCTTTAGTATTTGACGATCATCTTGATATGCTCGACTGGCTTGAAATGGCGTAAAATGGAATATTTATTCGCATATGCAAATATGTGTATTAGATTCAACCCGAAATCGACGACTTACAATTGTTGAAACTGCCCACGTGATTTGTCAACACGTCATGAAACTGGCGCCGCAGGCACAACACAAATTGACAGAGTTATTACATTTATGTGTGTACGTGCACGTGTGTGCGTGTGTGTGAAAACCGCAATTGAAATGCAAAATATTGTGCATATTTAAAAGTCAAAATGCAATCATTGAAAAAAGGTGCAGCCAGTGCAGGTCAATGTAAAAATCTCCTAGGGACGTGGCTTGCCAATCGCTGACCGAGCGGCGGAGGTGCCGAGGGGCGTCTATCAGCGGGCAGTTTACCTTTAATTTCGACAACATCATATAATTGTTAAATTCCAAATAACAATAAGCCAAATGGATGACTCAAACCATGCGGCCCGGCTGGGGTGCACTTTGTGGTCGTGGGTGTGGCTGCGGCTGGGCGGGCAATCGGTCGTGAGGGGTGGGGGGGGGTTGGGTTGGGGTTGGGGGCCTGGTTTGGTGAAGAGGGCGCCTATAAAGGGTAACTGGCCAACTGGGGAGCTGGCCAAATGCAATTTATAGTGCGTGTAAATGAACTGCTGACCAAAAAACCAAACCGAACGCAGGTCTATTGGGGAAATTGCCCATGCAAGTGTAACTATCCCGGGTATGTGTGTGTGCGTGTTTGAAATTTATTGATTTCCATATATTTATATGTGTAAAATGCCATAAATTACAATTATTTAACAGGGCCGGACGGATGGCAACGTAGCAACGGACGGGGCCGTAAAGTCAATGCCTGACGTGGCCCAAAAGCTGCAGGCGCAGGATTTCGGCCCAGTTGGGTCACTAGTGCAGTAGTTGTTGTTGTTGTTGTTGTTGTTGTTGCTGTTGCATCTTTGTGTGTGTTGGCTTGTTGCTGTTGCATAATTTGTTAGCCAAATTGCAACTCAACAAGCTAGCAACAATGAGCCCGAAAACTCTGCAGCAGACACAGATACAGACACAGACTCGGGCACAGGTGCACAAAACACACACATACACACACACGCGGGCACATACACATGTACATATAACAGACACACGCACATATCGAAAAGCATCGGCTGCGTTTGTGCCACACCAGGCTCATCAAATATGCAAAATTTGCCAGTTTCAGCTGAAGAAACAATCATCTGAGCTGCCCCAAAAAACCAGTGACTGCCCGTGTAAGGAAACTGTGATATGTGATAGCAGGATATATGTACATAAAACTGTGATATTTTATGGACCAAGTTGAACTACAACTATTTTTGAGCAATTTTTTGAAAATTACTTTAATGCAGAATACGTGATATGTGACGTATACGTATTAAATATTTAGACAAAAAATGGAATTGAAAAATAAATTATACATACTTTTGTCTTAAATTGGGCATATTAATAATGATTCAACTTCTAAAAATATTACTACATTTTTCCTATTTTTTCCTTAGTACATTGAGATTTTATATGCAAAGAACATGTGCATAGCGTTCACATATATTCATATATTTAAAATCTACAAGTCCTTGTAACTACAACAAATTAACAGCTAGACTAGACTAGCAGCGCGTTTAATATGACAGCAATTGCATAACTATTTCATAGTAAGCTGCCAACCTAGCCATAATCTCATAAATAGTATGTTATCAAATTTTCATCCAAAGCTGAAACCCTTTTAATGGCATATAATTAAAAATGGAATTATATAACATACAGCGTAATATATTATGCGCCTAATGCTAAATATCCCTACTAATGCCTTGGTCTTATATAAATATATATACATTAATAAACATAATATATAAATGTATTATATTCATTGCCAAATATTCCTTAACGATAAATAAATGCTTAACATTTGTATACCTTTTATGGGCTCGCATATTGAACCTATGCTCATCTCTAACAGAATATGCTTAATAGCAACATGCTGATCCACGCCCACTGCCCACCGGCCCACTGCCCACCGGTTCGACGCCCCACAATGGCAGCTAGTTCAATCGCTTGGCGATTTGTTAGCTTTGCAGTTTTGCGCTATTATAGCCAGGCTTATTAACTGTGCTCTACGGTCTCCAAATGCCATGCAAATAGGCAAATTTGCAATCAAAAGAACGATTTTCATATTTAAGATCTCAAGTTGTGGACACGCATAGTCATACACACACGCACACACGCACACACACACGCATATTCACACACAAAGTTAACCACAGGCAGGCATGCACTTAATTTGGCAATTGTCTAAAGGACTACAAGACAAGGGGGTGGACACAAGCAGCACAGAAGTTGGGCGTATCTATATATAGATATATATATATTTATATATACATATATATAATTGTATATATATCTTGTAGTTGTGTTTGTGTGTGTCTCGGCCAGTCTTGGTCATTAATATTAATTTCGTCTTTAATTTATTGTAATTTACGTGCATTTGATAAATCGCATTATTATTATAAGCGGCTGCCTGTCGTCTGAGTTGGTGTGTGTGTGTGTGTGTGTGTGTAGGCTAAAGGGGGAGAGGCTTTATTGGGGGGCCTGTGTGTTGTGAGAAATATGTTTTCTGGCAATGACAGTACTATAGATATCCGGAATTTACCTTTTGCTCTTCAAAGCGTCCTCAAAGCCAATTAATTAACACGAATTTGAGCTGCAATTTGAATGGCATAAAAAATTGATTAGAATTGATTAAAATTGATTCATTTGTTTAAACACTTAAATACTTGCATTAACTAAGGCTCTTAAAATGCATTTAAATTCCATTTGCAACAGAAACCAACCAAAGGCAGCCTTTTATTGTTAAGCGGCTAGCGCTTATTACACTTATCGCTGGCAAATGATTTTCATTAATTGCCGCATTTCAAAAAGGATATGTTAAATATATAAACTAAGAGACATTAAATGTTATTTATTTATTTAAGAAATGGACTTTCTTTTGTATTGTGCTTCATATATTTAAATAATTCAATTTTGCCAGGTAGAAACTTATTCAACTAACATTTTGTAGTGTATTTTATTGCTAAACACTTGTGAAAAACTCTAACAAATTGTTGAACCCCACAGCAAAAGACAACAAAAGCTTTAAATAAAGTTGTATGTATATATACGTATATAATTATATATTTGTATTTATACAATGCATATATATATTTAAATAATGATGTACTAGTGTGCATATTGAATGGCAGCATTTATTCAAACAAAGTTTGTTGTTTGCTCGACAGAGCAGCGCTTAAGGCGCTTTTGGAAAAGTTCAAAAATCTCATTAAATACAAGAGCTGCCGCACAAATACAACAACAACAACAACAACAACAGCAACAGCAGCAACAACAACAACAATAACAATAGCAATTGCAATATACTAAATATTTATGCCATGTTGTAAAGTTCTTTTGTTGTATCGCATTTGGCTTTCATATAAAAATTGTGTAAAATAATAAAAATAATTTCGCCCATGCACACGCACACACACGCACGCATATTGTCGCCAGACGCCATTTTCTTTTGTTGCTATTCTTATTTCCGCTGCTGTTGCGTGTAATGGACGCCGTTATGTGCATTGGCATCGGCTTTGGACAACGCATCGATGGCACTGAGAGAGCGAGCGCCTCGTTGGTTGACATGGATTGGCGAGGCAAGCGGAAAATGAGCTGCGCTTCTTTGCATTACTTTGGCTCGAATGACTTTTGCAATGGGCCCCCCGCCACCGCCAGACGCCACCACGACCATTTGCCACGTTTATAAACGACATAAATATAATTAAATTGTTATAAAAATGCAGCAGCAGAGGCAGCAGCAGCAGCAGCAACAACAACAACAACAACAACAATAAGAACGATTGAATAAGGGGCTGTCTGCTTGTCCATTGAGCATTCAAAGTTTATGGTCCGCACTTCACGTACTGCTCCTTGTGGCGTATGCGAGCACTCGAAGTGCACTTGAAATGCACTTCTGTGCATTCGTTTGGGGCGCTGGGCAGGCTACAAATAAGTTATCTCGGCCCGAAGGGGCCTTGCCACTGACAGCCCTTCGATGCGCGCCTTTCTATGCGATTCTCATGCGCGCACGAGCTATTTTTCTTTGCATATTGTACTAAGAGTCTATTCAGCTGTAAGGTGCTAAGTAAATACGCATTAACTGAAGTAAAAATCTGAATGATTTGAGCCTTTTTGAATGGCAGGCAAACAGTTCAATTCAGGCTTTACAATGCATACAAATATGTCAACAGCTTGATATAAGCTTCGTTTACAGCTTGGATAAACTCAAGCAATATTAGCATACAGCTTAATGTTAACTATCGATTAAATTCATGGGTAATTTATTAATTAGAGAATATACAAGAGAAGTATCAAGAATATAGGTTATCTTATCCATTGATAACCAACTCAAATATCTGGATATTTCCAATAACAGCTTTAAAGCAATCACTTTTTTATTTTACTTCAGCAACGCTTGCTTAAGCGCTTAACAAATAGCGCACTTTGTTATCGATAAGCTTTATGACCCTTTCTCTGCAGTTCTCAAAACCAATGCCAACACCCACACGATGAGTGGACAGCTAAACAGCTCTTATCGGTATTTTACATGGTCGCGCCTCATTTGCGGCTCGTTTGTGCTTAAAAGCTAAAAGATAACAGCCCGCTGGGTCCATTTACGAATTCAACTCGCATTGAGGGGCCACCCACGAGTAGGTTAGCGCTTTTAAGAAAATTATTGCAATAATCAAATCAAATATATATATGTATATATATATTTGAATATATTTTCTATGGGCATCTTTTGTATCTGTGAGATATCGCATGCCATCATTATTAATAGAGTTCATTAGCTGCAGACAATGAGCCGAGTGGACAGATCGAGTGAAGTGGAGCCCCCGCATGCCCGAAACCAGTTCTCTAGCAACTCGAAACTCTCGCGCTCTTTCCCTGAATTCCAGAGTGTGTTAGTTATGGTTTCTGTTGAAAAATGCTTTGTTTATAAATGCGTTTATCATTCGGTTCAAGCAATTTTTTTCTCATCTCTTTTTGTCTTCTTCTTCGTCTTCGTTTTCTTTAATGAGAACTAATGAACGCATTGGCCTTTCGATTGTCATTAACATCATCATCACCATCGCCATCGCCATCACCATCGGCATCATCATCATCATCATCGCTCGATGTGCTGCCGGTTTTTAAATTTTGGGCATTGTCAAAAGTATTTTTATTTGGCTGCTTTTATTGTTTACACAACAGCAATAAAAAATAACAAAAAAAATATAACAATAATATTCAACGAATACAAAAAGGGGGCAACCCACACACATGGAAGGAGACCAAGTCGATTGGAACTGATCGCATCAAGCTTGATGCAGGGCGGGGAATGCAGTCGAAAGTTGATCGTAAAAAATCAGTTCGAGATCGCTTTAAATAATCCCCGATAATGCAAACGCTTAAAAGATTTGTTTATCTTTAGATCTCCAAGCAAATCATGCTTAAAAGCAACGGACCTTAAATGTCTTCATGTCTATAGATGAAATAATTAATTGGTCGTTTCAAAGGTAGTTAATCATGGAATGCATATGTCTGATTTTCATTAAGATATGCATGTGTGAATTTATTTTTAAGCTAAGATATTTGATCTAGCAAGCGCGATTTTAATTGAAATAAAAAGTCGATTAAGCTGCTCGGAATAAAAAATAGAGAGGACAAATGTAGAATAGATACTTCGGCAATGTTTATCTTAAAGCAAAATAATTGAAGTTGAAATCATTTTAATTAGTCGCTAATAATCGATTGTTATCGAAACAGCTCTATTTTAATCAAAGCTAAAGCTGAAGTCTCGTTTGATTTAAGCTAAATCTTATATAATATATTAATCTGGTTTACAATTGATAGAATATGTTTACACATATCTCTGCAATAATACTCTCCCAAAATCCTTTTAGGCGGGCATCCCCCCTGAGCGGACATTATATAGCCATTATACAACCATTCTGCGTCAGTTTATACCCATTTCCTCTCTATAAGGGGCACTCTTTTCTTGAGCACACAATCATTACCCCTTGTTCGCTGTCCGTCCAAGCAAGTTACCACTGTATATTGATAAGGATCGATAATAAAAAGCTTCAATCGATTTGCTGTGCATTATTTACAGCCCAAAATCCTATCTATGCATAAGCTCAAAAGTGAGCCCTAAACAAAAAATCATAATTTCCTTTAAACAACGCGAGGTTTGGCGACTGAGGGCGGGTGTGGGTGAGAGGGGGGCGCAAGAAACAACAACAAAAGTCATAAACTAAACACGTAAAAGCCAAAAAGTTGCATAAAATTAACAAAGTTTTGTTTGCTTTGCCTGTTTCCTGCTGCCAAAAAGAAAGAAAAAAAAACAAAACAAAAGCTACCAAAATGACAACAAAAAACAACTAAAAATATAAAATATAAAATATATATTTTATATATATATATATATATATATTATATATACATATATATATATGGAATATACATATATGGAATTATGTCAGCAGTGCCGGCAACAGCAACAACAACAAAAAGGATGTGTTGCCCTGCGCCAGGCGTGTAAATTATTTATGTGCCAACTGTCCTTCTTATATGCCCCCCTCTCCCCCCACCACCTTAGCATGCCTCACCCCATCCACCCACTCAGGCAGCTATCAGCGCCTGGCCAGGCCACCCACGCTGCCAACTACTCACATAATCCCAATGTGGCACGCATGGGTACTGCTCCGCGTCCTGTGCCGCCGCCAGTTTATAAATAAAAATCATTATTACTGAATGCCTCCTCCTGCTAATGCTAGGGGCTGGGATTGGGGCTGGGATTGGGGCTGGGTTCGGAGTCGGGCTTGGGCTGGGGCTCCGGATTTTTCAGTTGGCGACGTTGGAGTTTTCGTTTGAAATTAGCACGCATTGTCCTTAATTGTTGGGGCGTTGGGTTTTCATTTGGGGCTTGGGCTGAACTTTACGTTTGCTGTTGTTGTTCCTGTTGTTGCTGTTGTTGTTGTTGTTGTGGCAGCTTTATAGGCAGGGTTGCGCGGCTTTGACTTGGTGTGTGGCAAGCCAATGAGTCGTTTGGTTGGTTGGCTGCGTGTTTATTTATTTGACTTGTGCATGTCGCTTTTGGGTGTTAACTTTAATAATTAACGGCATTAATTGCCGCATATGTCACATGTTTGCTTTCGCTTTTCCCCGCCAGCTGCAGGCTTCAGTTAACCTCCCCCCGCCCTCCCAACATCGAACCTGCATGCCCATGCATTTTGTAGCCAGCTTTTTAATTTAATTTCTTTGTATTATTTAAACGCTTATGTCATGTCATAAAAGCAGCCAAGAGATCCACTACAAAACAATACTCCGCCCCACGCGACTCGCCTCTCCCCTCTTCCACCAACCTGCTGACCACGTAATACCCACAACATTTTGACCGGCTTATTATGTTACCGCTGACTGCATTATTCATAAATGTTTAATGTTAATTATGTACACGCTTTCGGGTCTTGAATATCGGTTTTCAACTTTTGGATTTTAATTGCACGCCAGCAAAGCGCATATCAAATTTTCTGTTTTTATGTTAGATTATTTTCGATTATTAAAAAAAAATCTATGTGGCTACGCGTGTAATTATGGAGGACATATGCTTTACCGAGTTAATGCTAC